ATCAGTTCTAGTGCTCCCTCCTGCCTTCGTTATTTACATTTTATAGTGCCACATTTTTTAAAAAATTACACATGCTAAGAAGGTTAGAAAGGAATTCATTATAATGTTAGAAGTATTTATAGTTGGCTGATATGACTGTGGAAATTTTATTTTTCTTTTACACAAGCTCTTCTATTTAGAAGAGAGAGAACTTCTATTTATAAAGGGAGAACTTTATAAATTTGAAAAATGACAAAACCTATCTGTAGCAGGGCAGGGACCGCAGGGAAACTGAGATTTGGCAAATAAATTAGAAGAGTTACTTGCCTACCTGCTTTTTAAATAAATATCTTTTTTCAATATGAAAGCACTTAATAGAAAGTAGTAAGGGACTATGCTTTGTATATTAATATGGCAAATGCTTCAGAGCAAGCCTAAATCCCAGATTGCAGGTTCAGATCTGTCTCCACCGTTGCTAGGCATGTGATTTGGGGCTCCAGTTTCCTCACCTGCAGAATGCAGAGATGAATAATACTTTTCTCGAAAGCTTGTTAGGATGAGCAAGTGTGCTCATAGAGCTCCTAGCATGTAGGAAGGCTATCAAAGTTATGAGGGTAAGTGAAAAAGTATTACTAATAAGGGTCCAGTTGTCACAATGGTTTGTTCCGTATAAAACGTGCGTAAGCATATCTCTGTGATCAGTGGACACCTGTCCAGTAGACTGAAGAGATCCATATCCCCATTCCAGGGAGATCTACGCTTTGTTTGATGTGCAAAAGTTTTTAATTTTTGTGAAGTCCAGTATCTGGACCCATATCTCAAACCATATATGAAAGCTAACACAATGACCTAGATATAAAAATGGAAACTATAAAACTCTTAGAAGAAAACATAGAGAAAAAAACACTGCAATTTCTTCCTCTACTATTCCCAATTCCTCACGATCCTTCTCCCCAAATGGGAGCAACTCTGCAGTACTTCTTTTTAGTCATTTGCACATTTCCATACTCCATAATAATGGGTTTGTACTGCTAATTTTTAGTAACCAACTTTAGGCATTATCTGTTGACTTTGCATTACAGTAAATGAGGACTTAGCTCTCTTGTACCACTATTTCTGCTTCTTCCCTTATCATTCCAATATATTTGTGTTAACATTTTGGGTTAGATGAATACTCCCAGCTAACATTATTATGTGTAGGCAAGTAGTATCAGATGAGTATTATAGGATTCTAGGATTATGCTACTTGTTTTGTTGTTTTTCCCTGATATTAAGCGTTGTCTGTAATGTTTGTTTTTTCCCTTCTCTCTTAGATGTGAGCTTCTAGATCATGGTCTCTGTTCTTCACCTCACCTCATTGTAGCTCCAGCTCTTGATAAAGTCACTAACCCCTGTGGCTGTTAGGTGCTGCCAAGTGGATTTCCGTCTCATAGTGACCACATGTTTTAGAGTAGAACTCCCCCGTAATGGTTTCTTGGCTAAAATATCGACAGGAGCAAACAGGCAGGTCTTTCCCATGGAACCATTGGGTGGTTTGAATGCCGTGTTTGGGTTAGCAGTCGAGCACTTAATCCTTTGAGCTACCAGGGCTCCTTCACCGCTATCCCTTATAACTGCCAAATCCAGGCGAGTCTTCCACTGCTGTGTGCAGTTCATGTTTGCCTATGTGCATCCTTGTTCCTTTCTTCTCCCTTGGCTCCCACGATGCTGTCAGCTATCTGGTCACCCCTTTGAGTCTCCCTGGTGGACTCTCCACCTCACAGCAGCGCTGTGGAACACTGGCTCTGGGGGTCCCGAGACTGTAACTCTGGATGGGAGAAAAGCCCAGCTTCCTACCCTGGAGTAGCAGGGTTCGAGCTGCTGGGCTTGCAGCTCAGCGCGGCCTGTAAGCCCACTACGCCCCCAGGTTTGCTGTGGGCCCTGACCCGATGCGCTGAGCTTTTTAGTGGACTTTTCTTCTTCCCTCAAACCTTGGGGTTTGTGTTTTGTTTTTAAATATTCAATCCTCAGCCTTATTCTTACCCAGGAGAGTCTCTTTAAGTAATACCTGCCACAACCATGAGCGACTTACATGTTTCTCTATCTAAAACTCCCGTCTGAACTGCCAGTCTGTTGGTGTAGCTGGCACTGAGCATGCAGATGGAGAGCCGGAAAGCACATTGGTTAACTGCCTCCTACCGGAATCAAGGCCCCTCTTTCTTTGAGATTTGCATAGGTAGTGGGTGGTGGCACTAGGGCCTTGCTCTGCCTATAGTTCTCTCTAAGGAGCGCTGGACTGTGAACCTCAAGGTCAGCGGTTAGAAACCACCAGCCTCTCTGCGGAGAAAGATGAAGTTGTCTACTTCTGTCCAGATGTACAGTCTTGTCGACCCCCAGGGCCGGTCCACTCTGTCCTGTGGGGTTGCTATGAGTTGGCAGTGAGTTTTGGGGGTTGTTTTGTTTGTGGGCTTTTTTGATAGTTCTCTTTGCCGTCCCCAACTCTCTCAGCACACATTGCTTCATCACCCCACCTTTCTATAGTTCTCTTGGCACACCCCTAAATGCTCCCTCTCTCTCCCTCTCTCTACCTCCCACCCCCACTCACATTTCCTCTTTCACCCTACCAGCACTGCAGCTTTCCATCTTTATTGGCAAGAACCAAAAGATATCTCTCCCTGTGATCTCCAGTAGGTCCAAGTGAGGGTTTGGGATGTTGGGCCAACTATGAGATCCCAGAGGAAAGCAAGTGTTTTATCATTTTGTTTGCTTAATTTGTACATACTAGTGGCCATTCGAATGGCCCAACCCTTGAGAAGCATCTTAACCCTGAAAATGCTCACGGAATGATCATTTGAAACAAGTGTGCACCTTCACATGGCTTCTTTTGGCATTTTGACTCTCAGTTTTAAAGCCACATGTGGGATGGTAATGGGAATTCCGTTGCATTCTGATTTAAAATTGCACATGGGTTTGTCATGTGAATTTACAGGCAGAGCTATGTCCTTTGTCCAAACAAAACAGGAAAGCACAGTTTAATATTCATTCCCCTATTCTCATTTATGAATATATCTGTTTAGGACCACGAGTCTGTGTTCACATTCCTACCAGTGCTGACGTTCTAGGAGCACATCCCGGGGGCCAGAGGGCTGCGTTGCGTGCATGTCCCGGCAGGCCCCAGGATGGTTCTTGTTAAAACTTAGATGCTGCTCCAGTATCTCTGGGGTGGGTTTACATTTCTGTGTTTCTAACACGCTCCCAGGCGATGCTGTGCTGTTGGCCATGAACCACACTTTGTAGAAAGATCTTATAGCACCTTCTGTGAGCTGGTTTTTTAGGTGGGTCTAGGTATCTTTGCTTCTCCCCCATCAAAGATGTAGATGAGGGAGGTTCCCCTTCTACGAATCCTGGAGACACAGACTGATGGAGACAGGCAGATGTGCCCTGCCATAGCCACGCAAGCCTGCTGTGAGGCCCAGCAGAATCCATCTATCAGCATTCAAAGCATCTGGGCTAGAATGTGTAAAGAATAGCTGAGGGTAACCCAGCCAGAACTGCCTTGTGGCAGCTTCTAGCTGGAGGAAGAAATACTTTCTACCTACTCTGCATGCCTAATATAAATGCACTAGCCAGTTAACATGCAGTAGTTAAGAAAGATCGGGACCGTGTGAAGTAGCATTAGAATGTTATCACCTTCTGTCCACAGTCTGGGTGGAAAGTAAGAAGGTAGAAACTAAGCAGGGAGGGGGAGAGGCTGGATTTGGAATTCACCGAGGATGTCAAATCAAGAAATGGATTGGACTCGGCAGAAATGGGAGAAGAGCCACTGGAGGTTGAAGCTGGGGTACTGGCTTCCAGGAACTGTGTGGTTGAGTTCACCCAGAGTCCACAGGAGGAAGTCCGGCCTGGCCTCTGTGTCTCACCCTGGGGTAGACCGAGTGTGGGACACCAGTGGGACATGCCCTGGAGGTATGCATAGCCTGGAGGCCCAGGGAGGAATCTGCTGAGCCGCAGACACGGGCAGAATCTTGTTGATGTACTTGAAGCCACAGCTGCAAATGAGAGCTTTCCAAGAGAGGGCTCAAAATAAAAAGAGCCGAGAGTGCTGAATTGGGGGGCCCGGGGAGGAAGAGCCCTCCACAGAGACGAGGCAGGGCCTCCAGAGAGGCATGGAGATCTAGAAAGGGCTCAGGGTGGCACGACCTAGTTTTTATTTTAATAAAAACATCAGGGTGATGGTCTTCTAAGAGGTCCCACACAGTGTTTCCCTGTCGTCCTCAACAGTGGGGGGGTGGTAGCTTTGGGGGTTGGCTGTTGGCTGTGTCTAGCTCACCAGCTGGTTGTTGTAGTTGGGGGCCCTTGAGTCGGTCCCGCTGGTAGCCACCCTGTGTGTAACAGAACAAAGCACTGCCTGATCCTGCACCAGTCTCACAAGTGTCCTTACCTTTGAGCCCATGGTTTCAGCCATGGTGTCAATCCATCTGATTGAGGGCCTCCCCCCCCCCAAGACAGACCTGTTTGTTCTTTAGGCAGCCGGTGGTACTTTCAGTGTTCTTTGAGAACACCATAATTCGAATGCATCGATTCTTCAGTCTTCTCATAGTGTCCACTGTCACATGCAAACGAGGCCATTGGAAATGCCACGGCTTGGGTCAGGTGCACCTTAGTCCTCAAAGTAAAGCCTTGCTTTTCCACACTTTAAAGAGGGCTTGTGCAGCAGATTTACCCAGTGCAATGTGTCCTTTGATCTTTGCCTGCTGGCCCCATGAGCATTGATTGTGGATCCAAGCAAGACAACATCCTTGACAACTTCAATCTTTTCTCCATTTACCTTGATGTTACCTGTTGGTCCAGTTATGAGGATTTTAGTCTTCTTTACCTTGAATTGTAATCCACACTGATGGCTGTAATCCTTGGTCTTCATCAGCAAGTGCTTCAAGCCCTCCTCACTTTCAGCAAGCAAGGCTGTGTCATCTGCATACTGCAGGTTGTTCATAAGCCTTCCTCCAATCCTGATGCCAGTTTCCTCATGTGCATTTTTTTAGGTCCTTAAAATTCTGGTCAGGGTGGTGATTGATGGGGTGGCTGATCGGAGTGGAGAAGTTGCAACCAGCCTCAAAGGGAAGCTGCAGGAGTTATTTGGCAGAATAACTTCAAAGGTGACCAATGATGGCGACATCTGGAGGCTCTATGCCCAAGTCTGTGGCAATGGGCAGAGTGAGAACCCTGATGAAAATGACAAGGTAAGTCCTGGGCCCGCTGTTTGTACCTGCACGTGGGCAAGAGACCTGCTTTTGCAGTGGCTGAAAGGGGAGTTTGATCATTTGCAAGATACAATAGATGTGCCTGGTTTTTTACTGTCGATTCAGAGCCTTCTACATAAACACTTTGAACCGTGGACAGGTTAAGACTTGTCAACGTTCTATTTTTTCTCTCTCTCCCATGAACTTAGGGGTCTGCAGCCAACAACTGGCCCTGGTCTTGGACTCTGCAATCCTTTCTGCAGGCTCATTGCTGACGCCTGGGGAAGGCAGGTGGCATTGAAGGAGAGACCAAAGGCTGTAGATCAGAGATGAGGATGGCAGCCGGGAGAGGGAGAAAGAACGTAGATTAGGGCGCTGGGGAAGAACTTTGAAAGGCTGAGCGAAGAGTGCTCCACAGAGGCTCCGCTTCCTTCTCAGCACTCAGCGCATGTGCCTTTTGCTTCTTATCTTAAACTTGCAGGAGGGCCCAGCATTTCCAAGACTGGAGTCATTGTTTTGTGATTCTTTGCAAAAACATTCACAACGCGTCAAATATACTCCTTGCACAGGTTTGGTATTAGCCATGGTACAGATAACCTGTGAGATTATTAGCCAGCCCGTCCCCTCTCTGTCCACCTAGCTGGCTTCTACCATTACCTTGTCAGCCCAGAGAGCACACACTTGCATGCAGTCACACACACCCTGCTTTCTGTCCCATCCTTTCTGAACAATGTGTACTCTCTGGTGTATACGGAACCAAGGTACTTAGAAATCTCTGATCTGCGATTTCTCCCAAAATGAGTTAACAAAGATGGTGTGAAAGAGAGACTCTTTAAACTCTGTGGGCTTACACCCCATCAGCAATCACATAATTGTCACCTTATTCCTTCAACTGACCATATAAATTGATGGCTACAAATGCTGTTCATGTGTAGATTTCCAAACCTGACAATTACAGGCGTCTGTTTACAGGCCAGTGTCTCTATATCCAGGCACATCAGTTTGATTTCTCTTAATTGTTTGTTGCTATTGTGTATGCATCTATGCCCCCTTCTTTGATGAGAATAACAGAGTGTGCTATCTTATACAGATGTGGTTTCCCCTCCCCCCCCCAAGTTGGAATTAGTTCCATAGGACTTCCAGACCATCCATGTGAATCTCGTAGGGTTCTGAATGTTGCTTTCTCTCCTCAGGCATTCCACTATCTCTCGAAGGCCTACAAATGCGACACACAATCCAACTGTTGGGAGAAAGATGTGACGTCATTTAAGGAAGTGGTTCAGAAAGCCATAGGACTTGCACATGGTACTTGATATAATATTTGATATCCATAGCGTATTTTAATGTGTGTCTTTTTTTACTAAAGAAAGAGTATTCATCAAAGGTAAAGTTCCATTATTGATGCATCTGGGTTGTTTGATTATATCAAAATTGTTATATTTAATGGGACATTTTTCTTCCAACTTCTATCTAATAGGCACGTTGTGTAATAGGAAGAAACAGGTAGCTTAAATACTCCCTGAAGAAGTGGTAGGTATTAAAAGCTCTCTTTAGAATGTGAAATGCATTTTACAACTGTACTTGCTTGTACTCCACCCAGAGTCTCTCTGCACTGGTGACGCAGGAAGAGGGGACGCCACTAATGACTCCCTGATCTAGGTTCTCCCTTTGTCAGTGAAATCATTGATGCTTCAAAATACATAGCTCTTTGGGAGTATATGGCCCTATACAAAGAGCAGTCGAATCTACAAAAGAAAGGTAAAATGCCATCTGTGTCCTCTCTCTGAGAAATATAAAGGGCTCTGCTTTCTCTGCAGTAGGAGCAGCTCGCCTGCCACTGCCCCTCATCCCCCTAAAAATGTACGCCTGCGCCAAATTTGTCTCCACCCCTTCCCGGGTCAGGAGCACCTCCCCGCTGCTGAGCCAACCCTTGTCTGTGTTGGTGCAGAAACAGCCCGGGACACAGACAAGCACTTCAGCAGCTGGACAGCCCACGTTCCCTGACCTTACTTATCCCTATTTGTAGCTTCCAAACCAGCACCATCTCAAGGGACAATGGTGCAGCCGCCAAGTTCATTGGGGCCAGGGCTGTCACAGTTGGAATGGCAGGCTCTGGAGTTGGCACTGGGGCTGGGTTTGGGACCCTCATCCTTGGTTATGCAAGGAACCTTCTCTGAAGCAGCTGCACTTCAACTCCATCCTGGGCTTTGCCCTCTCGGAGGCGATGGGCTTTTCTGCCTGATCCTCTGCGCCATGTGAAGGAGCCGTCTCCACCTCCCATAGTTCTCTGTCCTGCGTCTAGTCTGCCCTATATGTTCCTTTCCCTGCACCTCCCCTGGCAGCCTGGGCAAAGTGATTGGCTCAGGGTTTGGTAGAGGGAAGACAAATAAATACTGTATTAATTTTAAAAAAAGAAAAAATGTAAGGATGATTTGGGTGGGGAATTTACATATATTTGTGTAAATGTTACATGTTATTTACATTTATATGTTACATGCTGGGCAAAGATATTCTAGGTAAAGGCAGTTTTCCATTATTTTCATTAATGAAAAATAAACTGCTTACATTTGGTAATGTACTTTTATATTTATATTTGAATATGGGCGTGTAATGCCTTGGGAAAGCAGTTCTAGTATAGTACCAAGCCCAATATTAAGAACTACACCAGAGACACTGCGCAAGACAGTGTGCCAGTCATAGTCCTCCAGCTGCTGCTCTGCCTGCCTTTTCCTGGAACTGAGTGACAGCAAACAGGGAGACAGCGAGGGATGGTGACAAAGGCTGAGCTGTGGCATCCAGGGGCCTAACCTCCAGGGCCAACTTCTTACCAGGTGACTTTGGCAAATTGCTCAACTGCTGTGAGCTCGGTTCCTCTTATTGGTGAAATGGGGGTAGTACCTACATACGGTTGTTTTGAAGACTAAATGAAAACATACTTAAATACTTAGTAATATTTTGCACATAGTGTGAATGTAAATCCCTTACTTTCTCAGCCCTGCCCCATTCCTCCTGGCTTTGAGGATTTCGGCTATTGAACACGGGGCTCTAAAGTAAAAGGAAACTCACGAGCAAAGATAAAGTTTAACTGACCTATAAAGATGTCATAGATTATTCAAGTGATTTAGAAACCAGGCTTAGAGTAAATAACTCTGCTTATGACCTTTGACTTCTTTGGCCCAAAAAATACAACTGTCCTTAGATAGCTTGATAGATAGGTAGGTACTCATCACTTTGTCAAGTTGATGTCAGCTCATAGTGAATGCTGTAGGTGAGGGTAGAGCTGCCTCGTGAGTTTCTCAGACTGTAACTGTTTACAGGAGTAGAAAACCCTGTCTTTTTCCTATGGAGTGGCTGGTGGCTTTGAACTGCAGACCTTTCAGATCACAGCCCAACATGTAAGCACGACACCACCATAGCTCAGATAGATAGATAGATTTAATGGATGGAATAATTAAAATCGACATAGCTGAAATTCAATTTAAGAAATTTTGAGGTAATTGCTAATCAGTGGTAAGATGATTTACTTTGAAGAATTTATCTTACCTACTTCAACTTGCCACCCCTAACATTTCTGTGACTAGCTAGCTCTAAAACATGCAAAGCCAAGATATTTTCTGTAATCACTAAGAAGTGCTGGTATTAAACCTGCCCCATAGAAATGTGCAGGTTAAAGGGACAGTCTAGGAAAAACATTTCATTTTCATCTTTGAGTTAGTTTTTACTATTGTCAGCACCCTTTTTTCATCAAGGCAGTCTTTGGAGGAAAACAGGTCTCTATTTTTTGAAGTTCTCCTTTGACGTTACCGAATTACCGTATATACTTGAGTATAAGCTGCCCCGAATATCAGCTGAGGCACCTACTTTTACCACAAAAACTGCATTAAAAATGTGCTGAAAACCCACGGCTTATACACGAGTACATACGGTATGTGTTGCTGCTCCTACAGCATGTTAACATATTTGAATGGCTGCTCCGCTTTTGTTCTAATGCTATCTTAGGTTCACGACAAGAAGCCCTCACCTTGTCTTAAGTGCTGTTGGGTACCAGTGCTCGTTGAACCGCGAACAGGGTCTCTGTTACTCTCTTTCTGTCTCTTCTACCCCACTCAGTTCTCAAGAAGGAAATCTCCTGTGTGGTTTCTTTGAACTCTTCACATGGTTTACTCCCTGTCCGGTTGCCTCTGTTAAGGGTAGTGAGTGGTGTAGTTCACAAAACCTGATAAGATATTGCCATCTCAGGTCTAGGAGATTGTCTGTACCAACACTGTCATCGGGGGCCCCTTTTCATTGTCTGGAGTGTGGCCACTTGTCGTCTCTGCTACTTTGTGCTTTTGGAGAAAGGTTCTTTACCTTCCCAGGAACTCTGGAAAGAATAATGCAGGCATTTTAGCTCCGGTTTGCGCAAGGAAGAGGCACTGCTCCCTTGGATGACTTGATGATTTGAAACAGCAGGCTGGCTCTCTCTCCACTCCCTTCCCCTCTCCCTCCCACTCCTCTCCTCAGTTAGCTTGGCCTCACCTTCAGTGCCTTTTGGAAATTCAATTGAAGAGGGGGGAAGGAAGGAATTTGGTCTTGGTTTTCTTAGAATGAAAATATAGAGTTAAAGAAAACCCACGCTTTTTCTGGTACAGCTCCCTGGGCACCGTTGCAGGGCAGCTCGTGACTCTGCAGTCAGCCTATGGGACGGAGGAGGACCGTCCAGCCCTTAGGGCTTCCAGCCCTAGGCTTCCTAAGCTTGCTGGGAGCAGAGCACAGGTGCTTTCTCTTATAGAGCCTAATGGGTCCCCTCTGCCGACCTTTCAGTGAGCAGCCGACTGCTGACCCATGCCAACCAGAAGACCAAACTCACTGCTATAGGGTCAGTGCCAACTCACAGTGAGCCTATAGGGCAGGGGAGGACTGACCCTGCCAGTTTCCAAGACAGTAACTCTTTCTAGGAGCAGAAGGGCCCTCTTGCTTCTGTGGAACTGCTTGTGGTTTTGAACTGCTAACCTTGCAATTCACAGACCAATGGGTGACCACTGCAGCACTGGGCCTCCTGGTCCATGTGAAGGGTCTCCTTTACTAAGGGGTAAGCAGCCATGGTAGTTAAAACTTTCCCACCCTAAGAAACCTTTTCAGGGTGGGGAAATAGATCTACGTGCATATATTTATACGTTTAGTATTAAGGCAGCAGATGGACATTGGGCCTCTCAATGCAAGAACACATCATTCTATTAAATTGGCATTCCAGGATGCACACCTACTCGACATGATTGTTGAAGAAAAATGTGTGCATAAGCAAATGTGGTGAAGAAAGCTGATGGTCCCCGGCTATTAAAAGATATATATTAAAAGATATAGCGTCTGGGGTCTTAAAGGCTTGAAGATAAACAGGCAGCCATCTAGCTCAGAAGCAACAAAGCCCACATGGAAGAAGCACACCAGCCTGTGTGATCACGAGCTGTCGAAGGGATCAGGTATCAGGCATCAAAGAACAAAAAATCATGTCCTTGTAAATGTGGGTGAGTGCAAAGTGGAGACTCAGAGCCCATTGGTAGGCAACTGGACACCCCCTTACTGAAGGGTTGTGGAGAGGAGATGAGCCAGTCAGGGTGCAGGGTAGCAATGATGAAACATGTAACTTTCTTCTAGTTCTTAAATGCTTCCTCCTCCCCACTATCATGATCCCAATTCTACCTTACAAATCTGGCTGGACCAGAGGATGTACATTGGTACAGATAGCAACTGGAAACACAGGGAATCCAGGACAGATGATCCCTTCGGAACCAGTGATGAGAGTGGCGATGCCTAGAGAGTAGAGGGAATGTGGAGTGGAAAGGGGGGAACCGATTACAAGAATCTGCGTATAGCCTCCACACTGGGGGATGGACAGCAGAGAAGAGGGCGGCGGAGACGTCAGACAGTGTAACATGACAAAATAATAATAATGTATGAATTATGAAGGGTTCGGGAGGGAGGGGGGAGGAGAAAAAAATGAGCCAATATAAGGGCTCAAGTAGAAGGCAAATGTTTTGAGAATGATGATGGCAACAAATGTACATAGGTGCTTGACACGATGGATGTATGGATTGTGACAAGAATTGTATGAGCCCCCAATAAAATGATTGGGAAAAAAAAAGAAACCTTTTCACCCTCATTCTCTCAGATTAACTGGGAGAATGAGATTAACCTTGCTGCTTACCAAGGATCCTTTTAACCTTTAGCTGAAAAATGTCACCATCCAGTTACTATTTGAAGTGGAAATAGCAATCTGGTCTCTAACCAGGCCACAGGAGACGGTGTGAATTACTGACAACTCTATT